GCTGGGGAAATCTCGTCTTGAGCGATCGAGGGCACGCACCAAACAGTTGTAAAGTGTCATTTTGCAGTAGCTTTACAGACGTGTCTGTTTTTTAAATTAATTTAGTAACACAACTTAACTTTGAATGTATTTAAGCTGCCAGAATGTAGCTGTCGTGCCTTTTACAAGTCTAAAGGATACCAATGACGTTAAATAAACGCTCTCAGTCTAAAACAATGAGAGACTGACAAGCAACTGGTCTGTATAGAAAAATGAAAATTCCATTGCTGACTTTTTTTTTTAATTTCTATTACTAACCCAGCTGAGAGAAATGCAGAAAGCACACACACTGAATTTATGCAAAATTCTTTGGTATGCTTTTTATGTGTCAGCATATAAAGGCCTATCTGTTTGGATTTTAAAGAGTGATTATCTCATAAGAATCACCCGTCTTAAATTACTAAATACAAATCCTGTTTTTTTTTATACATTTGTTGCCCAGCAATGTCAAGATACTCAAATTAGTTTTAGAAGTATACTTACTATAATTACCATCTGCAATGTACTTAATGTATTTTCAAATATATTTTCAGAAAATTTCTTCAGTGTATTTTCCATAAAAAAATCCAGGCCACTAATAGAAACTGTGAAGTGACTGCTGATGTGAGACATGATGGGTCTGAACCACTTGTAGATGTTATGTTTGGTAAGGAGCTAATTTTTAATCTTGACAAAAAAAAAATATTCTGATATTCTGAGGTTTGTGGTATTACAATGTTACTGTCTTCTCTCTAAGTTTTTTGTTTGTTTGTTTGTTTGTTTGTTTTTTACGCTGGTTACTTTATTTGTTCTGGTCGATAGCTGGGAGGAGGGAGGAAGAAAGGAAGAGTCAGTGACAGCCTGATGTCGAGATAGATGTTTACAAATATATGTGTGTGTATATATATATATGTACTACAGTTAGATCTAGTGGATATTGAATCAAAAAGCTGACTTAACTTTAGGGTTGAGTCTACTTTTGTAGTGACATGCATGTGTGACCTTGCAGTCGGCTGCAGTTCCAGGGAAGTATGTGTAGCTCTGTTTTGGTATAAGAATCTCTTGGCTTTCTTTTTTACGTTATCTGTGGTGGAGGCGTCTCAGCCTTGATAGGAGAAAAGTTGAATACATTTAGTTGCTTATGCAACTGAGTAACTTGCTGTGCAGTTTGAAGGGACTGCTCATACGGATAAGACCATGTGTGTGTAGAAGGACTTGCAGAATGAGGTCAACTGATGTACAAGAAATTTCTTGTTTTCCTTCGAGGGGATAGTGAGCAGGCAGGGACCTGATGGTAGAAATTTCATCAGTTCTGGAAGCGGCCCAGATTCAAGGCTGTGAACAGATGGCTCTAATCTGCTTTTGTCCTTTTCTCTGGCTACATCTTACTTCCTGCTGTGCTGTAATGGACCAATATGTCACGTAGCCCATTGAAGTTCTCATTATTATTGATTCTTGGTCCATGCTTTTCTTTAAACTTCCATATATTTAGTCAATCAGTAGAAATATCAAGAGTGTTGAATGTACTTCATTTTGCTTATGAAAGTTGAGTTATCTAATGGTTGACATTGCTTGTTCCACCCTCTCCATACCTGTGACTTTCCCATTCGTGTCTCTAACTGATGTATTAGGACAAAAGCAGTAAAGCTTGATGTTTTTCACAGCATAAACCCAAAACAGTTTCTTTCACTAGTGCCAAGAGCATTTCCAAATGAAGGGTTTGCAGCCCTTGTAACTGGCAAACATGGGGCTGGAACTTGTGTGCCATGCATGGTGTTGCATTATATGGGTTTGGGTATGGCTTTTGTGTTTGCGAATCTTGAAAAAAATAGCTAATTAACTTAGTTTAAAACCTAACTAGGTTAAAACTTATACTGCCTCCTCCCTGTTTTAAAATATTTTCTTTGATAGTTTTAGCAATCTTGGTGCATTCTATTTTTCTACATTATAACCTCCAGATTGTGTAAAACAATTTGATGTTTTGACTAAAAAAGTAACTTAAACTGACCACCGACAACATGCATCTGAAATGCCATGTGTGGAGAGTGTGACTTCCAGCACCTTATGTTAGATGACTTCGAGGGTGTGAAATGAGCCATTCTCCTCAAATCTGTATTCCTACCCTCAGTATATCTAGACAAATGCTTCAGATTTTTCAACAGTGCAGTACAGTAGCGAAAGCTACGTGTGTACTGTGTGCTGTTTAATGTATTTGTTTGCTGGTGGTGCATAATTAATATATTTGTTTGCTGGTGCGTAATTAGATTGCTTGATAAGTGGAGTACTTTCTAATCAGACCTGATGACCAGGGTGTTTGGATTTATACACACAAAAGAACTGCACACTAAAGTAATTGTGACTTAGACTTTGTGGCTTCTTAAATTTTTTTCCCTTTACAGCTGATGGAGAGCGACTGATAATGAAGGGGGCCAACTTGACAACAATAGAAATGTTAACAGCATTGAGGATCAGATGTAATGCAAAAGACTCTAAGGAAGAACAGAAAAGCAGGAAGAAGAATCCTTGAAAACCAACGGTGTTTGCATTTACATGTGTTCAAACCAGCAGGCTGCACAAAAGGCTTTTCTCCTGTGCAAGAAAATCTGAAACAGAGAGATGGCCAAAACACTGAACAGTTTAACGTGCAGCAGAATGAACCATCTGAATGTTCCTTGTCTTGCCCTGGAGGAAAACACAGTGGAGCAACAAATCTTGTAACACTAGTGGGCCAGAGGGGTGTAAGACACGTGAACGTGTCTTTCTGAGCAGCCACTTCTCAGTCGTCTGCGTGTCGGGCTAATATCACATGTATTTGCATGTAAATGTGAATAATGCGTATGAGCTATTAAATTATTATTACAGTGAAGACAGATCTCTTTGGATATTATTTCCTACAAAATTTCCATACAGTTACTATTTTTGAAAATTATTAAATACAGGAATTTGAAGAAAACATTGAAAGTGTTGTTGTTGACTTAGCTGAGGGACAGCAATCTGCAAATAAGAGTGGATTTTGTAATACTATGTTTATCATACATCTGTTACCAAGTCCCTGCCATTTTCTTCCTCTTTTTTTCAAGAAAGTGTGAACTTTGCTAAATGTAAATTTAGCTCAGTAACAAGGTAATGGGACTGTGAACACACAGTAAAACTACTCATTCTGTGTAAGAGTAGCTAAGTTTAGCTCAAAGGGAAAGATAAGTTAATTTCTTTTGATGATTGAAGAAAAGGGCTATCTTTGAAGTTCAGTTTTGTAATATTTTTGTCATTCACTTTTGGGAGATTTCATTAAATATTTTGTAAAGATCAAAGGGAGGCCTTTATTTGGCATTTGCAGCTGTGTTTCCAACCCTGCTGTTAGTGCTTTGGTGTCTTATCTGTATTGCAAAGCAGTGTGGGCTTGGGAGGGTTGATCTCTCCCCAGCCTGTGCAGGTGAAGGTGTCAAGTGCACATGTATTTCATGGGCATCAGTTTTGTTCTACTTCAGTTCAGAATAAAAGTTCCATTTTCTGAGAACTGGCAGAGTTCAAGTTTTGAGAACTGCAGGTGCAGTACTATTGAGAGGCAGTAGTTCAACCTGTTGTTAATCAGATGCCTGACTTCCATAAAATTGTAGTACATAGATTTCCAAAATTAGTTGGGCAGCAGATTTAAGACTCATCTGAAACTAGTTTTACCTTACTTCTGATGAGTAGACGCTTTCTGAAAGCAGCATTGTTTAACTGGCACTGTCAAGGTAGTCCTTTGCAAGTTCTTCAACAGGACGCTGGAGTCCAGGTAGTACCTTACATTGGTGAGGTAGAGCTCTGCTAAAGGCCTGTGATGGTACTTCGTGGTGGTGGCTGCCTCCGTAGGTTTGTAACAAACAGAAGAGGGTGAGATAAGATGATTGGGGCAGATAGATCAATGAAATTTAGTCATGAGAACAAAAGATATGAATGACTCAGTCAGGGATGGAAACCTTCACTGCAGTCTGTTATTTTTTCTATTAGGCCACCAACTCTTCTCTGAGGTTTCAGAGTGCTGAGCTCCTGAACCTGCTACTGAGCTCCCTCTCTAGTGGAGGAGTTTCAAAAACATGTGAAACTGGGGGTATTTTAAATCCTGTCAGGCTAGAAGAGTACCCTAGAAAGTGGAACAAACAGAAATCAGGCTGTTCAAAGGACAGGTTTGGGTTTTTTTGTTGTGTTGTTTTGTGTGGTTTTTTTTTTTTTTTTCCAGTTAGGAGAACATCATATAACGTGACTTTACCTGAAGAAGCCTTACAGGGAAAGTGAGAATTGTTCAAGTGGAACAACACTGCAGAATTACTCATTCCCCATATTAATCATGTACTTACATGTGCAAAGGCCCTATTACTGTAATATATCGGTGATTTTTGTGATTTCTTTTTTCCTTAAGTTTTTCTTTGACAGTTTGTACAATGATGTCAGTGTGTAAAACTTGTGTTTAAACATGAAGCAATTATATCCATCTATAAATAATTAGCCATTCGTACATACTTAAAGAGTAAACCAAGGGTTAAGTAATACTAAGTTTCTGTAGTGCTTATATTGGCCCAAGATTGGGGTTTATATTTATGAAAAGGGAAGAAAATGAAGATCCTAGCTGAGGCTTTTTATAGCTGAAATAAATCCTGTTCACTGTTGAGAAAAAGTGAGTGGTATTTTGTTCTTAGAGTTTTTTTTGGTCTTCACTCACATGGGTAAGCATCCTGCTCGGTAAAGACATGCCCTTACTAGGTACGTTCAGTTTAACCCAGGGTGTGGCAAGTTTTGCTTTGGTGAGGCCGAAGGCCTGTAATGTAGCTGTTCAGATATGACTGACATCAGTAGCTGAGGTGTGAGCTGATGTTGCTTTTGCTGTGCGTACTAGTAGCAGCAATTTGCAGGGGTAAAACTGATACGTTTTGTGTGTGAAAAAGAAGCAACGACTAGGATTTGAGTATGTAAGCTACAAAGGAAAACATATACGGGACAGAAAAATAAAAATGTTCATTCTTGAGACGATGAGATACTGAAGTGATAGAAACAAGCAGTATGGGCAAGGAGGTGCTCCTCTGGGGATTATTATTCTAATGCATGGAAAGTTGCTCTCCCTGTACCATGCAGATAAAGGTACAAATTCATTTTTCAAGTGTGTTAAAGATAATCTTTAATGAATTTCTTCTCTAAGCCTTTAGATAACTTTGCTGCAAGGAGTTTGTGCAGGAGCAGTTTCTGCTGCTGTCTGGTGGGCTGGAACGAAGCGGAGCGACCTGCTGGCTGGGACATCTCCCTGGTGTGCCGAGTCCCGGGCTCTGCAGGGGGAGGGGATTAAGGTCAGTCATGCAGAACAAGGCGTGGCTGGGCAAGCACTGACTTTGCGTGTTATTATTCCCAAACCCACTAATCTTGCTTACTGCACCCCACCAAAATGTGGGCGCTTGCCTAAATATAAGAGGAACTGGAACAGGCCCTAAACCCACTAGGTTTAACTGGATGCAAACACCACGTCCATGTAGGCTTTCTGATAGAGGTGATGACGTTAAAATGTCTAGACCTCTAATACCTGGAGATTTAAAACACTGATTCAAAACATCTTAGACCAGTTCATCATACAAATACCTATTTTTTTAGAAGTTCTTGTCTATGCATGGAAAAAATAGTCCTGAAAGACATGAACATGTCCTTCGGATAACACTAATTGGTCAGGGTAGTCCCTTTTTAGATATCTACAGCATTGTTTTTAGAAGGAGATGATATCTTTGTTAAAGATCAACTGGGAGCAGCAGTGTTACTGCACATTTCCACGGTCAAGTTCTAACTACCAGCTGTCCCAAGTAAGTACAAAATGCCATCTGCTGATGCTTTCTTGCAAGGGAGAATCACGCTATGAGAGGTAGGTCCTGCATGCCCGTGCAAGTTCTGTGCTTTGTTATTTCCAGGGGTCTCAGTGTGGGTAATTTCCTTCTCCATATTGTAGGAAAAACTGCATGCAATACAGTATTGCTGTGCAAACCCCACTTGAGTGGAAGATGCTTTAAATCTCATTTATTTTAAATGTCACAAACTAATATGTTTTGGCTGCTTGTGAACATGGAAGAGGTGTCATCTGTTAACTTCAGAAAATTGCCCGGAAGTATTCATCCAGTTGAGAGTGGAGGAATGCAGTAGTAGTTTTGGCTGGCTTTTCTTAGTTCTTCACCTCTACTATATATGATGTCTGAACGATCAAGGAATTTTTATGATGTAGAGAAAAAAAAAATCCTTGGGCTGTATTTAATAGTTCTCAAGAATTCTGCTCCCAAATTTATCTTCTGCATGCGTGCTCTCCCTGTGCAGGTGTACACACCCTTTGCGGTTTAAGAATTGCTGGCTTACTGCCCGCCTCATCAACTACATGTGCAACCAGTTTCCCTGGATGCCAGGCCCTGCTTCTCCACTGGGTGGTTTGGACTCACCTTCAGACCTATCAACCCCTCTCCCAGCCGCATTTGTTCCTCCTCACCCCCAGCCCCCCTTCTCCTCCTGGCATAATTAACCTTTTTCCTTCCCGATACTCTTTGATCTCATCCAGTCTCACCTTTTCTCCCTGGAAGGCCGGAGTCTCTCTTCCGAGCCTTTTTTATTGTCTGCTAGGAGCTTGCAGTAGCTTCCAGCAGCCAAGGTGCTTTGGTCCTGGTTGACCACTGCTTGTTCTCCTGACTCAGCCTCTCTCTGTTATGCTGAGAAATAGGACAGAGCAGCACGAATGGTTAGAGGTGCTACTGTGCTTCTGATAGTCTTTAACTTAACAACACATTGTCTTTACATTGAGCTGGCCTTCTCAAGATTTTACAAAGCTAAGGCTGTGCCCAAGGTAGATGTTAGAGGTGTGAAGGCAAAGGAGCTGACGATCTGTTTTGATCAGGTCTCAAGTTTCAAAGTGGTACTTGAAAGCAGAGTAGACTGTAGAGACTCTGCTTGACTTACAGTGTTGCCAGCAGAGTAACTAGCATACTGAAGGAGATTTATGTGTTGTGCTTCACTGGATGAGGAAAGTTTGACTTGCTTACATGTGGAAAGAACATTTCTTTTAAGACTAAATAGCTGGAAAAATGAATCGACAGTTGAAATGCTGGGGTTTGAACCCCGAGCCCCGAATTAAGGTTGACATATGGGTGATTCCCACAGCCCTTCATACAGAGGAGGTGAGTTTGCCTTATAGCTTCCCCCCAGGGTGCGGCCGGCCCTGCAGGGAGAGCCAGAAGGGAAATGAGCCCCAGGGGTCCCGCAGTGAGCTGACAAAGGTCAGGGGTCTGCTTGGGGATAAAAGCTGGGACCACTTGCAGGGAGTCAGGAGTGTCTGTCTGTGGAGTGCACTCCACAGAGCTTCCTGGGTCAGGGCAGACCTCCTGACTCTCCCTAGAGCTGGGCCCCGGTCTGTTTAAACCTTTGTGAATGCGGGCCGATCGGGTGAGAGTCGCCATGTGGGCACCTTTGTCTTATGTGTTCAGCTTGCTGGTTTGGCTGTTTCCCATGCCAACCATGGGGAACCTCAGGGCT